TTTGCAGCATGTAGGACTGCAGCTGCTGTAACCCAGTGTAGCTAGTGCTCTTCTTTCTAACAATGATAATAATATTAAGCCTTGCATTTGATAAAGCGTCTTATCATGTCTTCGAGACGTCTCAAAGCGCCTCACAGAATATACTGTAAATCTACACTGAATACTGCGCCAGGCCACCTATAATCTGCATCTTTTCAAGTAATTCTCCTTGATCAAGCGATAGTTCTGAATGGGCTTGCCCATAAATCTGATATTCTTCCCTTATACAGTTGGATCCTTGTTGCCTTAAGTGCCTGCGGGGGCACTCAACACTTTGTCAGCTACTGCTTGAATGCTTTCATTTAACAAGCGTTGGAGACGTGCATCGTAACGTTTCAGAAAGCAGAGACAACCGAGTCTTTTGTTAATTCCACCCTCAGCTGGAGAATAAAGTGTGCACAATCCGATTTGTATTTCACTCGCATGCTCAATTGCTTTAAAGACAATAATCCTTGCATTTGAGAAAGTGCCTTTCACTGCAGGTGAACGTCTCAAAGCGCTTCACGGGATATATTGTAAAGTGCAGTGACTGTGTGTTTTGAAGGCAAACCCGGCAGCCAATTTTGCACCCAGCAGTGTTTGTCTCTCAAACCGCCGTGAAGTGAATGATCAATTTTATCTGGAGGATCATTGACCAGGATACCGGGAGAAACTCACTTTTCTTTTTGAATCAAGGGAATAAAGTGTAGTGACTGTATATTTTGTAGGCAAACATATTTTGCGCTGGAAGCAAACTCCTGTTCAGTTTACACAAATCCAAATTGCCTGCATTTCTCTCTCTCCCGCCTTCCCCCACCCTCACCCCCCACTTACTGCAAACACACACAATTTTCTCCCATCATCTCATCTCCAGAAGCTCTTTGACTCCTATTTCCTTTTACTGGGGTATGGTTTCCACAGGCGCCGGTCATCTTCTGGTACCTCACTTAAGTATCTATTAATAATGTGTGAGTCTTTGTATTGAGCTTCGTCAGGTCATTTGACCGAGGTGTGCATGTGTGGAGAACATTGCAGCCGAGCCTGATCTTGTTCGATATCCACACATTGGCATCTCCAGCATTTGTCACCGGATAGTGAATAGCAGCGGGAACCCTGGCTAATTTTCTCTTCCTTAGACCTCGTACACTTAGGGAAGCTTTAGCACCTCGCTGAATGAGATCAGCTAACTTGGCACAGACTGAAAATGGAACTGAGACTCTCCTGGTCTGAATAGCTACTTTCAAGATAAACTCCCCGAGGCAGAGAGAGAAATCTTAAAATGCCCGTTCTTTAATCCGTACGCATCTTGCAGTGTTCACTTTGTCGTTTCGATCGCATATCCCAGCAGGAAGGTGTACCTGAGCTTTGTAGAATCATCTTCCATTTGTAGAATGAGATGTGATTGAGTTTGCTGTGTGTGTACCACTACAGCAACAACTTGCATTACATAGCGCATGTCACGTAGGCACGTGTAACACAGTGGGCATAATTCTGAGCTTCCTTCTGATGTTGCTGGTCAGATAATGGAGCTATAAATTGCGAGGTTTATTCTCACTGTTGTTTTCATTATGTGGGGTGGGAATTTCTTTCGGTGCAGTAGGAAAACGTGAAGTACACAGCCCATCGCAAACTGCACGCAGGGTTTGAGAGTTAAACGTTCCCTCTCGTCTTGTTATTCCTGGCTGTGCAAACATTGTGCATCGTGCATTCGCTGTGCATGTTGTGCCACTTGTAACCGAGTGAATGGCATAGCTGAAATAACAGGTGGCTGCACAAGCGATTCTGTACAGCCACTGTGCGTGCAGCCGGTAAATTAATGACCGAGCAGATGCGAGCAGGACGCGAAAAAAAAAGGTGAAACGCAGAAGAAGATCATTGCAAAACACGAGCGACCCACATGCTGACGTACTTGACAACCTGCTGTACAGAACGTTTTCGCATTTCACGCATAACCTGATTACCACATAGCTTTATTTACACACCCAGAGGAACACTTAGCAGCACGTCAAGGTGAAATATTGAGCTGTGTATTCCGAAGCATAATCAAGTTGTACTTTTTGCTGTCAAGTAGTTGCTGTCAACTGCGGCGACTGTATATTTGTAGCAAATGCAGTGGCTGTTTTGTGCACAGCAAAGTCCCACAAAGAGCAATGAAGTGAATGATCAAATTAGCTGAAGCATTGTTGGCCAGGGCTCCAGGAGAAACTTTCTTTTAAATTTGAGCAGCATCAGGAGATCTTTAACAGGTAGATAGGAGCTGACTTAGTATATTCCGTGAAGCACTTTGCGATGGCTCAATGATGTGATAAGCCGCTATATCAAATGCAAGGATTATTATTAGTTAGTTAGTTAGTTGAACCTTGTCCCTCAGGACTATCTTTGCTTCCCTACAATATAACCCAAAATTATTTGCGTGCAGCAGCACGCATTTTCCACTTGGTTAGCGAGGCAAAGTGAAACCGTACTTATCAGCCGTCCGCTTTTCAAAGCAGTTTTCAACACCTCAACGTTTGAGCTTTGCTACAGTTCCAACGAGTAATCTATCCTCCAACCCCCAACGCGATCTTTCCTGAGCTTCGGAGGGAAGTCAGCTAATTGAAGGTCAGTAACATGAGAAAGCTCGATGCGACTGAACTAAAGGCTGGAAAATTCCACTCGCTCGTCAACTAGCCTGTGGCAAGTCACTTTCTGAATTCGGGGAGCTGAAGCTCTTTGACAAAAACATTCTCGTTGTTGCCTCCATCTTTACCTTCCCTGTTGTCGGCCTGCTCCTCCCCGCTCACACAAGGCCCGAGATCTGAAATTCCACCCGGTCTTAGCCTGTAAGATCATTGTGTCTCAGATTCTTAAACTCAGAGACAAAACGGTCTTACAGCCTACAACCAGGTGGAATTTTGGGGCTGTCATTTACTTATCCATACCAACATTGGTTCCCCTCTCCCCCGCACCACCCCCCACCTTTCTAGACTTCCCAAATCAGGTTGAACTGAAGAACTTTCCTCGATTCTGCTCGATCTGAGATTTTAAGACACAATGATCTTGCAGGCTAAGAGCGGGTGGAATTTCAGATCTCGGTTAAAGGTCAAGCAACTTCTTAATCAGTGTGAAGTAGTTTGGACTTCTTTGCGGGAATGATATTGGCCAAGGAGAGAGCACATTATAAGGCCCACATCTCTGCTCTTTCCTCTGAATGCCGTCATAGCACCACTCTGTACTTTCCGACACTTTTTGCCCTTGGCTTGAATATAACACCTACTCAGTCTCCTTTTCTACAAACCGGGGGCGGAGGGAATCCAATTATAAAATCTTTTCTCTTATCGTCCTCCCACAGAGTGTAACCCTGGGGCACCGTAGCCAGCCCAGTATCATGGTATTTAAACCTGTAAAAAATCCATATTTTTAATCGCTTGTTTTGACATGCGATCTGTCACATGTGCCCCTGCTAAAGTGATAATGGATTGCAAGATGTGGTGCCATTGAGTAATGTGTGGTAGAAATAGACTGGTCTTGTGTCAGTAATCTCCTACTACTGTATTTACAAATACTGTTGACCTTGCTGTTGGCATGTAATGGCCGACGCAGCTTATCACCAGTGAAAGCACAATGGAGTAGAACCTGTTGCTTTGGTGGAGCAGCCACCTGTCCGAGAAGGTTCGTTCGTTTAAGGACCACCTGTTTTCTGATACAATTAGCACTCTTGAGGCTTGCAGTGGAACAACACTCCTGTCTTTAGGCTGTATCTGATACCTATTAGAAATTCCAACCATTCACAGCTTTGAGGAGAATTTTTGTTAAACTCCTACAAAACAGCCCAGACACAGGCAGGGTTTGTGTTCCTTGTGGTTCCCTTCTGGTCTATACTCAGTCATTTCCCATTTCTTATTATTCTGGAAACAGATAATAATAATAATAATCATCCTTGCATTTGATACAGCGCCTTATCACGTCTTCGAGAAGTCTCAAAGCACTTCACAGAATATACTGCAAAGTGTGGTGACTGTATTTTGTGGGCAAAACGCAGCAGCCAATTGCGCACAGCAGCGTCCCCTGACCCACCCGCCCCACTATTGGCGGGAGAGCCTTCAGCCACTCTGCCACCAACCTCTGGAATTCCATTCCCCAGTCACTCCGCCTCACCCCCTCCTTAGCCTCCTTCAAGTTCCGCCTCAAGACCCTCCTCTTCGACCATGCCATCAGTCACCCCCCCTTCCCCTCCCTTCCCTTCTCCCCCCCTGACCCCAGCTCAGGTTTGAAATGCTGTACTCTGTCCAGCGCCTTGGGACGTCCTCCCGATGTGAAAGGCGCTATACAAATGTAATCTTGTTGTTGTTGTTGTTCTTATCTGACTTTCCAGATGGGGCACTATATAGTGGCTTGGAAGCAAGTTTCAGGGGTGATGTTTCCCATCCCTAGTTCAAGGTCATAGATGCCCAGTTGTAGAGTCTCTCCTGGGCTGTGTCTGAGATCAAGCAAGTCATCACAGATCAGAACCAACCTGGGACTTTTTGGTTCAGTTCTGTTCCAGGCTGCGGGTTTATCAACTGAGCCGTCTTAAAATAAGTGCAGAAACCCAGCTTCCAAATTGAGAAAAGTTTCCACAATTCTACACAAGCTTAATTTTTCTAACGATGGCCTTAAGACAAGGCCCGTGAGAAAATTTGGACCTCTGACTCGAAAACACTTGATCATGATTAAACAAAAGGCGAAATACTGCAGATGCTGGAAATCTGAAATAAAAACAGAAGTCGCTGGGAACAACCAGCAGGTCAGGCAGCATCTATGGAGAGAGAGGAAAGTGAGTTAACGTTTCAGGTCGGTGACCTTTTGTCAGAACTGATAACCTTGATAACGATTTTCTGTCTGTCCTGTATGTAGTTTGTCCTTTCCAATACAAGACAGATCTGTATTATTCACTGTCTCATTTTTAAGAGAATTCTTTTTAATTAGAGGGTAATTTCTACTCATTTTTTTTGTTCCCACAGCTCCTTCATTCCTAAGTTCATCAACCACCTCTTCAAATGCAAGCCTATCAGTATGGTGGGAGCAGAGCAGGTAAGAACCCTCCTAGCTGGAATGGAACGTTTTACTGTTACCTACGGGACAAAAAAAATCATTCGTAACATCACCAGCCCAGTAACATGGCATTTAAAGCATTGTCTTTGCCGGGAGTAGCAGATGATAGAGCGATCGATCTTTGATTAGGGAACGAATCCCAGGGCTGCCTCCTTCAACATAGTTGCCTCAGTTAAGTAGGTTTCAACTCTTCTGTTGGCCTGCTGATGAGATGTGCAAGTGTTTCAATCCCAGCACTGACCCCCCATTTGCTCAATGAGCTCAAAAGTTTGCCAATGAGTATTAATGTTTAAAGACTTCAACATGTGCGGAATTCAACTCCACGTAGTATTAAACGATGAAAACCACGAGCATTTTATTCTGCCAAGTGTACTGATTCACGTCCCACTGATAACACGTGAGCCAAATATTGAACCACTCTGCTGCTGGGTTTGGCCCTTTGTTTGAGACTCGGGTTCAGATCCAGCCCAGAGAAAGGGAAGAGGTTTTTGTGGACACCGAGGTCGATCAAGGGCAGAATCAACAAAACTTGCGTTTATATCGCCCCCTACACACGGGATAGCATCCCGGAGCGCTTGACAGTGGCGTAGTCCAACCCCAAGCCAGGGGGAGAAGGAAGGGGGGACTGAATCCTGTCAGTCTCTCTAAGTCTATTCCTTCAGCCTCTCTAAGTCTATTCCATCAGCTACTTATAGGTTAACAAGTCGAAACATCGCACTTCCCCCCCCCCCCCCCCAAATATTTATATCTAAACAAACCCCTAAACTGTAAAGGAAATGTCAAAAATAATTCACCTGTAAGATGGTAAAAACAAGAGACGAGTCTTACGAGTGAATTAATGAAACATCTCACCTACAGTGTATGAATACAGCTGTTTAGTCCATCAGAGAGAGAGAGAGCGCGGCTTATTTGCAGGAATCTCTGTTTGCTTGTTACAGCAACATTCTTTGTGTGAACAGTGTGGCCTAAGGGATAGGCTTTCAACTGCTCAGCTGTTAACTATAGCTACAGCTGTTTTGGGGCCAGCTCCTGGTGTTAATATACTTGGAGAATCTTGGCTACGTGGTTGGAACCCTGTTGATCTGGGAGTCACTGATAATGCACATTTTCTGTAATTCCCATCAATTGAAAACTTAAAATTGGCCACAACGTTTCCTGTCAGCAACACAAAAATAATTTCACACGGGATTAAGTTAGAATTCACACGCATACACACACACACACACACACACACACACACACACACACTTGTTGCAACCAAAAGAGTTGGATATTCTGAGGGCTTAGGTTGCTGTGATTTAAGCGGTATTCACTGTTTCTAAAAACGGTTTAGTGATGCCCTGTTCACATGGTATACATTCAGTTCAGGCAATTTTTCAAAACCTATTACTCGAACTTGCAGTAGTAGTAAATAGTTCCACATTATAGCCTGTACGAGCCAAATAACTTTCATGTCTCGGTTGGTTGAAACATTTTGAAGTTGTCTAATTCGTAAAAAGCAATTATATTCTGACAGTATAATTACTTTGCAGTTTGCAACATGCCATGGCATCTTGAAATGTGTATTCTGTTGTAATTTCAATCTCGGCAGTGAAGTAGTCGAGGTGTTCCAAGTTGCCTTTAACATTTTCGCTAAAATATATTAGATCGCTTGATGCTGTGTGCTTCAAGGGTCCTTTATTATAATAATAATAACAATAATAATAAAAACAATCATTAATAATCATCTTCATCCTTGCATTTGATATGGCACCTTTCATGTTGGGAGGATGTCTCAAATTGTTATATAGAATTTACGGAGTACAGGATATGTAAAGTGTAGTGATTGTGTGTTTTATAGGCGAATGAGGTAGCCAATATGCACTCATCAGTGTCCCACAAACAGCCACAAAGTGAATGACCATGTCATATGAGTTTGGCGGTTGATGTACTTGTGAGATACTGTACAGAGCACAGAGTCAAGAGTTTTAAGGCCATTTTTAAGAGCCAGGCATGTTGTCCGTCTGACATATAGGAAGAAAAATCTAAGTTGAATATTAGGACAATATTAATCCTTACTAGGCCTGTGGTTTATTGCAGTGTGTCTCTGGGGTGCGCTCGTAAGTTGTTTTATTTATTGTTAACGGGGATGAGAATTTGCCTTTGTTGCTCCATTGAGATATCACCAATTGAAGAGTTAGTTGTGCAAAATGGAAGATTCTTATTATACCCCCCACCTCCTCTCCAAGGCTTTAGCACACGTTGAATACTTTATAATCATTTTGATGCCTTACAGCGTATTCTGTGAAGCGCTTTGAGATGTCCCGAAGACGGGATAAGGCGCTATATCGAATGCAAGGATCATTATTATTATTATGCGTGCCGTATATCAGCCTTAATCCGAGTGTTGACTGACATTTCAACTGGGCATCCCTCAGTGGATGAGTTTCACCAGTTAATGCCCAGGCTAGATGGAGCACTAAGTAGGAGCCGAGTGCTACATGTCAGGAAGCAGGAACAGCTGGGGAGTAACAGTCCCCCAAGCTTCAGGTGTTCCAGCACGTACAGTGGCAAGTTACCAATAAACCTTCCGTTTGGCTGGATCAGGCTGCAGCAACGAAACAGAATTTTTCAACCTTATTAATTTGACGTTGTGCTATATGGTGCAAAAGTGACACCTCAATGTAAACGTCATTTACACATCAGAAAAAAAAACACGTTATAATATCCCCCGGTGCCATCAATTTTCTTGTTAGCAAAATGAGAAAAGGAAATAACGGGCAACAGCAGCTTCCGTGCGTGTCCACCATTGGCGATCGGGCCTTCAGCCTCTCTGCCCCCATCCTCTGGAACTCCATCCCACAGTCCCTCCGCCTTGACCCCTCCTTCGCCACCTTCAAGACTCGTCTCAAGACCCTCCTCTTCGACCGTGCCTTTTGTCACCCTCCTATCTCTCCCCTCTTCGTCCTCCACCGCTCCTGATCCCAACCACCAGCTCGGGTGTGGATCCCTGACTGTCCAGCGCCTTGGGACGTTCACCTGACGTTAAAGGCGCTGTGTAAATGTAATGTGTTGTTGGTAGCTTGATCCAGTACAGGCATCAATGCTGCTGCAGCCACAAACAGGCACTCCATAATGGCTAGTGGGACGACACTGGGGCTTTAAGGAAAGCAGCTGTCTGATTGGATTTATGTTTTGTTATTACCCATGAAGAACTGTAATTTCAATTATGCCACAGCAATAAACATTTTTTATGTTATATTAAAAAAAGTGGTTCGATTGTGGTTCAGGATGGATCGCTTAACACTTCCCGCTGTTTACTGCGGCTTTTATGTTTTTTTTAAAAAAAGCACAAAAATCATTGCTTTCTCCATGGGAAGAGTCCAGTGAACTTAGCAGCTCTGGGAAGGGATTGGGTGATATGCTTGGCTGTGCTGTCTGCTGGTGTCACATTTATTTGGGGTTAAAATTTTGGCCAGCAACGAGACGTTGACCTGAACAGGAATGCACCAGCTCCACAATATTTCATCCTCATGATCAGTCTCAATCGACTAAGCAGACTGCTTACTAGGATTCCTTTAGCTGTTGACACAAGCCTGCAAATCAATTTTTTTTATTTAAACCGTCTTCCGCACTTTACACTAACATTTGTTGCCTTGGAGGCTGAGCTGGAGTAAAGGTTTTTTTAAAAAAACTGATGGTCGCCCTTTTGGCAATTCCTCTGCTTCCCCTCCCCGTCCTTTGTCCAAATGGTTTGGCTTCCTCTGAACATTGCATCAACGCTGTCTGATGTAGCCACGATTTAACAGTGAAGGTCACCGCAGCCTTAAGGGAGATTACCTTGGAGGAACACTTCTGTTTGCATGTTAAAATATAGATTTCTCAGTGCCGATTTGGGGGTCGAGCTGTGTGGCGTTGTGAAGTAATACAATCTGGCTTTGACACAAAGCAGCCATAGTTACTGTTGTTGCTGAGTGTGTGAATGCAGCGTATCCTTGGCAGAAATCTGGTATTTAGTTGGATGGATAATGATTGTGAGTCTCAAGATAATCGAATGGTCACGATACAAAGTCTAGGTTTTCAGCTGAATCGCCTAAATCTGAAGGAGGGGGATTTTGCTCCCGTGTAAAAGCTGTCAGCTCATGCCCACGTTGGGAAAATGGAGTTGCTCCAGCAAAGAACTATCACTATCACATCACGTTTGGAGGTGCTAGTGTAGATCAAAGATGGTCATGTCAAAGGCAAGAAATGGCCTCATTTGTGAGCCTGTACGGTATAAGAAAGCACGGACCAAGGAAAGAGCATTCAGCCATCAAGCTCCACAGTCACACCGACTTCACATGTCACCACTTAGATGGGTTGTGCTGGAGACAAATTGCTCCTATTTGCCTCGAAGCGCTTTTCAAAGACAGAATGAGAGCCCCTGTCCAAGCTGGATCGTGACCTTCATCCCATGTGCTTTAATCTGTTGGGACCTTGAATGTTCCACATAAAGGCTTCCCGAACTCCAAAGTCAAATCAAGCCAAAAGAATGGAAGCTAGCCAAGAGCAGTGACCAATTATACAACACAGAAACTAAAAACGCCAGTGCCTATTCTAGCGGGTTAGTATCACTCAATGCAGCTCCTTGGTAAGTCAGGCTTTAGAATATTGCGAGAACATTCGGGGGACTTACCTTAAAAAAAAAAGATATTGAGGCAATGGAAAGAGTCCAAAGAGGCACAAGATACTCGTGCGATTTGGGACTTGTATGTTATGAGGAGAGACAGAGGCAGTTACACTTAGTTTCATCCAGGAGAGAAGAGGAGGGATAAGAAAATGGTTCAGCTCTTTAATATGACGAGAGGCACCGATGATGTAGATTTGAGCAGATTATTTTACTAGTTGTTAACGCAGAACAAAGAGAGGTAGAATTCTAACGAGCTTCACGTGAGGCTGGAGATGTAAAGGAATGTGGCAATGGCTCCTAGTAGGCGCTTTAATACTTTTGATTGACTCCTTTAAAAAAGAGCTTAATATCTGGTTGACATTGAGGGTTTTAAGAAAACAAATAAAGATCTTTCCTGAACCAGTTATGCTTTTTCTCTCAGCGTCTATGGAGAGGGGTAAGTGAGTTAACGTTTCAGGTCAACAACCCACTTTCCTCTCTCTATAGATGCTGCCTGATCTGTTGAGTGTTCCCAGCGACTTCTGTTTTTATTTCAGATTTCCAGTACCTGCACTATTTTGGCTTTGATGCTTTTTTCTGTTGCTATTTCTGCAGCTTCTGCTTGATACTCACTCGCTGAAGACCGTTCTGCTGGATCTCCCGTCCATTGGCTCCCACGTGATACGGAAAGCCCCGGCAAGCTACACGAAGATCGTTGTCAAAGGCATGACTCGCGCAGAGATGATCCTCAAGGTAAGAACAATCTACCCAGGCAAGCAACTGTGACAGACACTGCAACAGGGTGCCAACGGTCATCTGGTACAACCCATCCAAGAGGTCACTGTTAATGCGTGAGCTTTGATAGAGTTTGTTGGTCTTCAATCTCGGGTAGTTGTATCACAGCTCAGCCTCAGCCCACGTCGATACCTGCATGTTTTCAAGCCGGTTAAATGACTGGGGATCAGAAGCAAAGGGCTTCTGCGTTTGATTATTTCCCTCCTGAGCTCCAGGGCCATTGGAGACCAAGTGTAGAGCCATTACCACTGACCCTACTGAGATCACCTAACTCAGCATAGATCAGGGAATGAACCTGAAGCCTTTCTATGAGTCATAGCCAACTGAGCTATCGAAGAGCTGATGGGGAATAGCTTCTCCTTTGTTTGTGCTCCATTTTCCTCTTTTCCCTCTGGATGTTAGCATGTCATTTATGCATTTGATACAAGGTGACATCCTTGTTAAATCATTAACAAGTTGTGGCGTGATCGCTCAGTGGTAAACTGCAGTTGATTATGTGGAAATAACATACAAGAAATCAGTCCTCTCATCTCATTGTCCTGAGAACATCATAATTTATAGAGCCGTAAACCTCTAAGGTGAAAACATCTCCTTATCAGTGTTCCTTTCAGAAAGGTGACGTTCATAGCTGGTGCCATTCTCTTATCAGCTGCAGTAGTGTACTTCATTCCTCAATAAATAACCCACGAGGCACGAATTGTAATACTCTATTCGTTACAGTCTAAATGGTGATGGGTACAGTGTCAATTTTGATTATTGGAGCTCCGTGAGTCTTGGTAGAGTCCCCAGTTACCTGGAGAACCACAGTGAGAGGAAAAATAGTAATCCTTGCATTTGGTATAGCTGGTAGGGCTTCCATGTCAGGAACACGCAGCAGCGTTCAGCGATGTCCCACAAACAGCCATGAACTTAATCATCAGTTTTATCTGGGGATGGATGATCAGGCCACCACAAGAGAGACTCCCTTCTCTTTTCAAATAGAGCCACGGTGATCTTTAACGTCCACCTGAACAAGTAGAAGGGACCTTGGTTTAATGCCTCTTCCAAACGATGGCGTCTCCCTTTTGCATCCAAAAATTGTTCCTGCATTTCGCACCTTTTCCTTTCAAGAGTAAGGATTATTATTAATTTCTTGGATTATTATTAATGGCTGGAGATCAACCTCAAGATAATTATTTGTTAGGTCAGGGTATTAAGGGATACGGAGCAAGGACGGGTAACTGGACTTGAGGTATAGATCAGCCAAGATCTTATAAATGGTGGAACAGACTCAAGGGGTTGAATAGCCTACTCCTGTTTCTATGTCTATGCATCTATTTCAAGTCCTTATCCAGGGTTGATCTACATAATGGGAGAGTGAGAGAGGAAGAGAGAGGGAGGCAGGGGAGGGTTGTGTCTTTGTAAATGGATTGGAATTGCCAGCCCGACATCAGTTGCACTTCCTGGTGAGAGAAACACTCCATCTGAATAGCAGAATTAAATCGGGATGATTTTGTCTGACTGTCCGTCCCCAACCCCCCACCTGGAAACCAGCATCCTCCTCGTTCTCGAATCATTTGTCACGACAATACCTCCTCCGAGCCTTTGAAACTCAAACAACTTCATTTTGTTCCCTCGTAGCAGAAACCGTATGGCCCTTGTCAGGTTCAATTACAAAGAGAATTACACAGACGGGCCCTTGTTGGTGGTGAGCTTTTGCAGACCACCCTTTATTTAGAAGGGAAAAGAAAAGCATGAAAGAAATCGTGTGATGATATACTTTTTAAAATATTCCCCAAAAATGCTTAAGGGTTATTAATGACTCAGAACATCACATATACTGTGTGTGTGTGTGTGTTTCTAAGATAAAAGCCTTCCTTTGCTTCTTATTAAAAGCCACTTATCAGAGTGGAAGGACTTTTACATGGGATGTAAAAGTCATTTGACCCATTGAGATTGCTCAGTCCACCGGAGTCCATGCTGGCCTTGCGTAGAACTCTGGAACACTTTTCCCTCAATCCCTCTGCCTTGCCCGCGCTCTCCACTTTTTCAAGTCCCGCCTGAATACCTCCCTTTTCGACCGCGCTTACGATCACCTACATCTTACTGAAGGTCAGCGACCGGCAGGTTTCAGGTCTTGGCTTCCACACAAGGTGCCTAGACTGATCAGATGCAGGTATGAGATATCAGATGTCACAATCACAAAGCACCTCCCCCCCCCACACCATTCTTCATAGGAAGCCACCTGTTGATGACTATAGTTCGAATGCGTGTCCCAGGGATTTGATGTGTGACCCCACAAACCAGGGTTAGTCTATTCAAGCGCTCCGAGATGCCATCCAGTGTCGAGGACACTATATGAATGCATGTTGTTGTTAGCCCTTGGTCTTGCCGGTTTGTTGACCTTCCATTTGATGCAGGACGTCACAAAGCACTTCACAGGATTTGCTGTAGAGTGCAACAACTGGGTGTTTTTAGTAAGCAAGTAAGCAAACGCACCAAGAAAGCCTCTCGCTTTACCTCTTATAATAATTATAATAATAATTCTTGCATTTGATACAGCGCCCCATCACGTCTTCAAGATGTCTCAAAGCGCTTCAGCTTCACAGGATATACCGTAAAGTATAATTTGCAGGTCAAACGCGATAGCCAATTGCGCACAGCAGTGTCCCACAAACAGTGGTGGAGTGACCTGCCTTTTGGAGGGGCGGGGGGTGTTGTAAGGCACAAATCAATCAAATCTGGAGAATATCAAAGAAAAATATTACATGTATTAGTAATGTTACTAACATTCCACCTAGCAGAAAAAACATGGATAACTAGCAAGGGACGCATGAGGTCTGGTTGCACGTTACCTGGTTTAGTTCAATTTGGGTTCATTGGGTGGAGAAGTTGCCTTTGCCCATATTAAGGGATATTAATTGGACTTAAGGTACATATCCAGACTGTTTGTGGGGACGCTGCTGTGCGCAATTGGCTGCCACGTTTCGCTCACAAAATATACAGTCAATTCTCTTTACAGTATATTCTGTGATGCGCTTTGAGACGTCTCGAAGATGTGATAAGGCGCGATATCAAATGCAAGGATGATTATTATTATTGTTACAGATCAGCCATGATCTTCTAGAATGGCGGAACAGGTTCGAGGGGCTGAATGGCCTAATCCTGTTTCTATGTTTCTATCTCAGCTGCTGAAGATTTCAGCTGGGACCAGAATGTATCCACAAAGTGTGAAGATGTAAATGACAAACCAAACAAATGCTAATGTCTACAGCGTTTGGAAAACAGGAGGGAGCTACTGTTAAGTAGCCTGACCTTTGAGGCATTCTGCTGAAGCCCGCTGTGCTTTGCACGCTAACAAAGTAGTCACCAGCCTCACAGCCCCCAGCAAGAGCGAAGATTGTCTCTGGTTAAAGCAAATTAATTGCACCAATAGCTAATACCCTCAAACTGGTAAAGCAAAGCCTTGTTTATGGCTGAATGTCCCCTGATGCTTTCCTTTCAACATTTTGCTATTCCATACACCCAGTCAGGGGAAAAAACACAGAGGCTGGCCTGCCTGCTTTGTGGTGATTATAGACATTCTCCTGTTAACATTGGCAGTCTTTCACCCTGACCTTTTTACGCCAAAATGTATACAGCTGTGACGTGCAATAAAATAAATCAGCACTGCACTTGACAGTGTTTCTGGGCTAAATCATCCAGATTGCCTTTAATCTCTGCGGCTATCAAACTCGGGACAAAAAATCGGCTAATTGTTTACACTGCAGGTCACTTCTCCGGGATAAGTCATGGGATAATAATCATCCCGAACTTGCAGGCTGAAGCCTCAGACGCCATCCATCAAGAGTGTTCTCAGCACCAAGAATGCAAATGGGAAGCTGCTGCTTCGAAATCTCGGTCCGATGTTGTACCAAAAGTCTATGTTATTTGAGGTGCAATGCGGGGCCCTAAGATTCAAACACTTTAGCACTTGATTTGACCTGCGAATCCGTACGTAACACATCGCATCGGCTGTGATTCGGGGACAGCGGAGAGTTTTGTGGAACAATCTGGTCTTTGTGGATGTTCAGTGCTGCATGTCGCCTGCTCCATCCCACACATGTGGAAGGATGGAGGGGAGGAATATTTAGAGATGTTTGTGCTACAAGGCAGAACATCAGTCACTACGCTTCAAAGTAACTGCTCGGGTGAAACGCTTAAAGACGTTTGGGTGTGAGAGAATGTTGTGTTAATTACAAGTATTTTAGGAATTATAGTTCAGCATTGCACATAGCAGGGCAGGGGTGTTGGCAGTCTTATTTAACCCCCCCCTATCTGGCCTTCTAACCATTTTCCCCGAATGCTGCTTTTGATGCAAATAATATGAATGCAGATTGTTAGATTGTTCTTGGGTGAATTGGGGGTGAGTTTTTATTTTGCAGGAGGAGAAGTGGTTCATGAAAAAAGTTTTTCTTTTTTTAAAAAAAACATTGTGGATCCATAGCAAAAGCCCCAGTTAAAAAATGTTACTTGAACAAGCTGTAGCCATTTTGTGATATGTTAAAAGACCATACAGTCGGTTAAGAATAATCTGCGTGTAATGAAGATTTTTTTACAAAAAAAATCTAACCACGTCTTCTTGTGCTACGCCTACTTCTGCTTCATCCCAGTGTGAGTTCAAAGAGGTGCCAAAGTAGCAGCCAGACAAAGATTTCATTGAGTAGAACTTGCACACAGTAAATCCACATTTTACACACAGAAATCGGAGTCGAGTTCCCTCCTCTCTCCCTCCCTCCCATTAGGCAGCAGCTAACAGGAGAAGACTTGATTGGAGCTGTCATGATACTCAGACGACACATGCTGACTGGAATAGTGTTGCTCCATCATTAATCACTAGTCGATATCCCAGATGCACACGTCAGCTACCGTGCTGCCTCGATTTAGCTTCGATTTGAGTCAAACCTGAGCCAAAAGCAAATGACCTGACCTGCTCCCTCGCTCTCTGGGCCTGCAGGAGATCCTGTGAAAAAAATCAATCTGTGTTAAACCCAGGTTGTCGGGTTTTTTTGGAGGGTTACAGTTACGGTTTTAAATGTGGAGTGGCCAATCTCAGCGAATGCTGGCTATAGTTTCCCTTCAGGCAGTTCATATTTCATATTTCAGATATAAAAATCGACTGGTGTCAAGGCAATTTAGATTCATTAAATTGAGATTCCGGATGATTTAGGAAATGCAGAGGTCGGATTTTGTGCCTCTTTGTTTTTAATAACCAGGTAACTGTGCAAAGACTCTTTATTGTTTTAACTGGCAACTCGCCACACCAGTTACTAAGTTAAATCTATCACTGCCTCGGAGGAGGTTAGGGGGGTGGGGGAGAAGAGTGGGGGCAGAGAGAGTGATTTCAAATGCCTCTATGTTAATCTTTTGGCCTTCATCTTCCTTTTGTTTTGGGAAATGAGATCCACAGCCTATGACCTCTTTTTTTGCAAATGTTTCTTAGGAAAACTCTTCAAAGTCTTTGGGTTTATATCTTCAGTTGGTCAAAATAAACTAAGCTGCTTCTGTTCCCCTACCCAAAATGTACACCTTTGACAATTCTACGGGGGTGGAATTTGCAATGTTTTGCAACCTGTGAAATGTGTGTCCCGCGTTCTGAAATATTGGAAATCTCTGCCCTTGTGTTGTTTTGTGTGAGGGATAATCACAGCTACATCCCAGGGGAGCAAAATCAGGTTAATGGTGTTTGTAATGTACGCACTAAATTAAGAAGCAGATTAATTATAGTAATGACTGCATTTTCTCAAGGGCACATCATGTCAAAATAACTCAAAGCGCTTCAGTTGTACATAATAATAATAATCCTTGCATTTGATATAGCGCTTTTCACGTCGGGAGGACGTCCCAAAGCGCTTCACAGAACACATGCGTTTTAATACATTTTAATATATTTTAGAGAGTCTTAGGACATTGGGAGAGACAACCTTCTCTTTTCCTACAGGGATTGTTGGATCTTTGACATCCAACAAGCAGACCAGTCCTCAGTTTAAGGTCTCATCTGAAGGACAGCACCTCCAGCAATTCTGCCCTCCCCCATTAGTGCACTGGAGTGTGAGCTCAAAGTTGCAGTGTGTTTCAGTGATTGAAAGATTACCAAAAGAAGACAATAATAATAATAATAATCCTTGCATTTGATCGCGGCAGCCAATTGCGCACAGCAATGTCCCACAAACAGTCGTGGATTGAGTGACCAGATTATTATTCATTTTTTTAAAGGGGTTATTACAATTATTGCAAAAGGATTTTTACAATTATTGTAAAGGGATTATTTAAATTAACAAATCCTAATTACTGAACAATACAATAATCACCAACTAAAGAGGGTCAGTAGTTGAGTTGTAGCAGAGAATAAGTACGTCTTTGTTTCTTCTTGTAAATGCTCCATTCATTTTTATATTCTTAGGGAACAGGGTGTGGGATTCTGACTGTGCGAGTGTGAGGCACTTCTCAAAACTTCATCTGCAGCAGAGACGAATGGCTGATCATTTCTTTTTTACCATACGCTGACCGAAACGTTCTTCGTCTTACAGGTGGTGATGGCTCCTCATGAAGCATCCGTGGTGTTTGTAGACAATTACATCAAACTCCTGGCTGACTGTAGCACAGACACATTCCAGAAAATCCTTGACATGAAGGTAAGGCCGTTTCCACAACCAGATACAATATGTGGTAACATTACATTGAAATCTCAGCACTGTGTCTCACTTGGCTGGGAGCGGAGCAGGGCTAAGCTGCCTTATTTCTCCAGGGAGAAACCAAGTGTTAAAACCAACAAGGCCTCATGTTGCAGTGGACGGAGATACTAGAGTTAATGGGAACATTAGCTCCAGTTACACTCCTACCTAGTACATGCTGTGCCGGGGGTGTAAGCTGACACTATCTCACGTAGTAAGTCTTAAGCACCCTAATGGGGAGGAATTCCACCTGGGTCTACATTCATTCTATTTACATAGCATTTTAAACTGTCCAGAATTTGGTGTATTGAATATTTAGCCTTCACTTTGAAGTCTCAGAAGAAACACACAAGGGGAAAAAAAGGCTTCAATATTAAGGCTGCTTTTAAGAAGCCGCCACATTCTACACACAATTGAAAACGCAAGATAAATAGAATAAATCTTGAACTGGGTGGAAATTCTCCGCAAAGATCTTACAGTTGCCGACACCCAATGGCCAGGGAATGGAAATTCCTCATTACTTTGGCGAAAGTTGACCCGAGAGTCAAATTGGCTGGATCGTTTTCTTGAAAGCTTTGCACAGATGAATGTGCTGAACATTGAAATGCAGTGCCGGCTTTAAGAAGTCTTGCGTGTTATTCAGACCTGGAATGCACTGCCCGAAAGGCCGGTGGAAGCAGATTCGATAACAACTTTCAAGAGAGATATTTGGGGAGGACAAATCTGCAAGGCTATGGGGAGAGAGAGGGGGAAGTGGGATTAATTTGAACAGCTCTTTCAAAGAGCCGGTACTGGCATGGCACAATGGGCCAAATGGCCTGCTTCTGTGCTGTATGATTCTATGATGTATTTTCGGGTCGGGATGAATTGAATACATTGTGCGCTACTGCTAAATGGGTGAGGTGGAGTAACACTTTAGGTGGTGGCTGCGCTAATGTTGCACGAGTAGTTTTTAAAACTATTCTCTGCACCACACTTGTCCCTGGCTGAGAGCACCAGCTTAACAATCCTCTGCCGGTCAAACCCTGAGAAGCATCCAATTCTCCTCCTCCTTCTTTGTGGGATCTTTTAACGTCCACCTGAACAGGCACGGACGGGACCTGGGTTTAACGACTCATTTGTCGGAGAACACTTCTTAACAACACAGCACAACCCCGGCACTGTATTGGATTGTCAGCCTAGAGTATTACATACGTTGAAGTCCTGATGTGGGGCTTGAACTCACAACCATCTACGTGTAATACACAGAAGCTACATTGCTGGTTAAAGCCTGAAACGTTTCCGCTAGTTATGAGGAATTATGTTTTTTTTTTACCTGGTTTCTGTCTCACAGGGGCTAAAGCGGAGTGAACAGAGCAGCATGCTGGAGCTTTTCCGACAGAGGCTGCCCCCACCACCTTCAGGGGGAGAGAACAGCCTCTCAGCGTCGCTGCCCGCCCCGTCCCCCGAGCAGGAATCCTCCAGGATCCGCAAACTGGAGAAACTCATCAAAAAGAGACTGTAAGACAAGTAAGAGGTTTGGCACAGGTCAGGGCCTCCCCGAGAACAGGTATCTCACTCCTTACAAAACACTCTTAGCTTCACCTGGATGTAAATCAACCATGCAACGACGACAACGAGTTACGCCTCTTCTTAATTCCCCTCGACTGGTGGGAACGCCAGTCCGACAGATCACCTCAAAGCAAATCGTTCCCCCACGTTCGACAAGCCGCGGTCCTGATTTCTCTGAGCTTTCCACTCTCCGCGCGCGACTTTCCTTCCGAAGAATTTGTACTTGAAAAAGGAGCAGATTCTACTCCAGGGTTGAGAACTTTTCTGTGAGGATCGTCTTCGTAGCACCTGGTGGTTTGGTGCCCCTTGTGGGCCTTTGTACTGTCAAGTTAACCGGATTTTTCAGCTCAGGGCGAAAAGTTGGGCAGGTTTCCTTACTCCACACACACGCGCCTCTATTTACCCAGCAGTTAGTAGGAACCCGGTTGTTAGTCGACTGGCGGATCGCTTTTCCGGGGCTAATAATCCCCTCAAAAAAATAATAAGAATTTGGTAGCTCAATCCACGACTGTTTGTGGGGACGCTGCTGTGCGCAATCGGCTGCCGCGTTTCACCCACAATATATACAGGAGATTCACTTTACAGCGTATCCTGTGAAGCGCTTTGAGACGTCTCGAAGACGAGATAAGGCACTATATCAAATGCAAGGGTTATTTATATATTTTATGTGCTCTGTGCTGGAACTGAGAGAGGTATGCTCAACCGCCCTCCAGGAATTAACAGAGGAACTAACGTTTATGTTGAAATCAGGTCGAATCCCTCCACTTGCCACAGAAATACCGAGAAAGAAGATGTGAAGAAATACAGTGGTTATCGCTGAGGTTGCAAAACACTGTTCGTTCCACCCACCAGTTCTGCAACTTTATTTTTTTCTTTGAAAGAAAGGCAAAGAAAACAAAGTGAGGTATTGTTTTGGTGTTGATATTAAATGCCAGCTTCATGTGTTTAGTGCACTGCAGAACACAGCACCGGGACCTCACCATCACAGCCATTTGTTTACTGTATTAGTGACAACTGCATTGCAACGCCCTCAGTGTAACACACGCTTTCCGCCGACTGTAGTTCCAGGTTCCACCCGCTCGTAATAGTCAGGAAGACTTTTGTATTATTCCTTCAAGCTGTTAGGTAATGGTGGAGGAGAAGTAGACATTGTGCCTGGGATTCTGAATGCTCTTTATGCGAACAAAGCCACGGCTTGAGCAATTGAGGTTGGGAGATCGAGCGCGAACAAAGGTCCATACAAACGAGCCAGCTCATCCTGGGAGAAGGGCAGCAGAGTGGTCGACTTTGTACTGTTAACAAGAAAAGCACTAAAGAAGTCTAGGTCAAGTCAATATCTGAATAGGGGGGGAAAGAAAACAGGCTAGTTAGTATTTTGGCCCTTCCTCAGAGCTTCGACGGGCCAGAGGGAAGGAGGATCTTATTAATTTTCATAATTGTGTGGTAATAGCTGTCAGCACATGGCTCTGCTGCTGCCCCATCAGATTTGTGTAAAAGTCGATGTCTTTTTGTAAAAGACGTTAAGCCCACAACAGCGACTTTGTTTTCTAGTCCGGCTTCTTATTGGGAACTTAGTTAATTTGCTTGAATTTTTCAGTGAGGCAGGTAGTACATCTGTGGGCATTTCGCCAACAAAGTGTACAGTCAATTCACTTTACAGTATATTCTGTGAAACTTTGAGACGTCTCGAAGGCCTGATAAGGCGCTGTATCAAATGCAAGGATTATTATTATTACCACCTGTGGCACACTGTTGCTGACCCAATTGGTTGAATTCTACAGATACCATTATTGGCAATGATAATATTACCATTTTTTAAAAAAAACATTTGAATTTGCTCTACGGTTTATTAGCTTGTTTCTGAACACTGGCTTATTCATTGCCTGAAGAATGCAGTCAGAAGCTTGGCATTTAAATGTGATCAATGCTACGATTTACCAGAAAGTTGTACTTTATTTGTGTATATATAATTTAATGTATTGGATTTATTGTTTCAGAGGTCTCTTGAGCATCACTGTACGAAAAACTCGCTTGGCACAACTCTGGCACAGTTCCTTGAGTTCACACCCTCAAAACAAACTAGATTTCGTTTTGAAAACGCTCCCAAGACACCATTCGGGGTGAAGGCGCTATATAAATGCAAGTTGTTGTTGTTGTTGTTGAAAGGAATAGGAGCTTCTTATTGGGATCTCGTCCAGTGAAGAGCTGACCCGTAAAAGCAAGGTGGCTCTCTTGTCTGATCGCTGTTCTGTGCTGGTTTCAGATGGGGAGCTAATGGGGTATTAAAAATTCATCCTCCTCTTTGGGGGGGTGGGCGGAGAGGGGAGAAATAAGCCCATGTCTTTGGAGCTGACCTGGCTGCCAATTGGAATATAGAAGTTGACTCATTGTTCTGCGGTTTATCAAAAGTCTGGTTCTTGAGCCAAATACATATATGCAGGACTTCAAGACATTGCTAATGATGGCCGGCCAGCCTAGTAACTAGGAATAACACTCAGACTGCTAACAAGTCGAAGCCTGAAGAGGGTATCTTAGCTGGACAAGCAGTGGGGAGTCTGAGCTCCCTTGATTTAGCAAGTGTCAGCCAGGGTTCCTGCTCCTGATTGCTCTCCACCGACTCCTGCAGAAAGGTGATACGTGTTTGGAAATCGGGGTGAGGGTTTGATCAGATGATGAGCTCCACTGTTGAGCAGCCTACAAATGCTCGCTATTCGAATAGTGCCTGTCTGGACAACACACTGCAGGGTGACTGGTGCCTGAGGAACTGCTTACAGGAGATGATTGGTGAATAGAAACGGTTACAGTCTCCAACTTCTGTCTGTTTTAAAATCCAACTTGTTTACCTCTGCAAAGGCAGCATCCTTTCCCTTTTGGTTGTTAGGTAATTTATGATTCCGGTTAGGCTATAAAAGAGATCCTCTCTTTATGAAGGGTTGAGCTATGTACACACAAGATGGAAGCAGCAAATCAGTGGGGTGGGTGAGGGAGAAAATTAAATTATGTGCGACTTTTCCTTGTGGTAAATAGACAAATTTGATGTATATATTTTACGTTGATTATAAGACCTTCAGTGTCACAACCACTTTCCTGCTAATGAATGTAAAACTGTCTCGATACTAAAGCTTCGGAAACATTGTCTTGTCGTGAACAACACTAAGAAACACTTGTCGCATTACGTTTGTTTTCAATAAAACATGTTGGATCTCGCTGTCATTTTCCTTTTGCGTAATTTATTGCGGCCACATTATTTAACACTGTCGCCTGTCTCTGTTTGCGTAAGGTCTGTTTCATTTTGAACCTTGTACCGTAGTGTAAAGTGAGTCATGAGATCTAACCCAATTCCCTATCCCAGGCAACCAAAGTCCTTAGGTAAGAAAGAGCTCTTGGTGGAACAGTTGGCACAGTGTTTGTCTGTGGGACCATGGTTAAATGGGTGTTAAGCTCTATGTGTGTGTGTGTGTGTGTGTCTTCCAATGCATAATAATCATTGTATTTGATCCAGCGACTTGTGTCATTCAGACATCTCCAAGCGCTTCACAGGAAGTACTGTGAAGTGTAGTGACTGTATATTTTTGTTGGTGAATACAGCAGTCAATTTGTACGCAGCATTGTCCCCCCGACAGACGTGAAGTGAATGACCAATTATAGATTCACATTCTATGGTACGAGTACATCCTAAACTAGCCTGAAATGACACAACTACAATCTGGTTTGTTGAAGCCACGAAGGCTAGACTGTAAAGAATGATTGTGACACGTCATTAGACTTAAGAGCGTTGGTTTAGAGGGCGGATTGCACGCACTTACATTGCACCCGGCTTAGAGAACACTTGATGTCGTCAGAATCAACAGCTGGTACTTCTGTAATCTGTCACACAAAAGGGTGAGAACCTCTCAAAAGTGCTTCTCAGAGACGTGCATCGCTGCATAAAGGGAAGGAGTGAAAACGGACTAGACGTTCACCACTTCCACTCCTGGGAAAACCCGCCAGCCCCCATCCTACCAATTTACCTGCATATCTGGCTATCAGCCTGTGCAGTTAGTGGCACTCTCGCCTCTGAGTCAGTATGTTGTGGGTTCAAGCCGCACGTCGAGACTTGGAACTCACATAGTCTAAGCTGACACTCCAATGCAGTGTTGGGGGATCGTTGCATCGTCTTCCGATGAGACGTTAAACCGAGATCCCTCTTCAGAGGGATGTTAAAGATCCCGTGGCGCTATTCGAAAAGAGAATGGAGTTTCTTTCTTCCAGTATCCTGGCCAACAGTTCCCCCCCACACCTCTCCCCAATAAAAAATTGGTCACTCATGACTGTTTGTGGGATATTACTGTGAGGAACTGATGGCTTGTGTTTCGCCCATAAAATACACAGTGTATCCTGTGAAGCGCTTTGAGCAATGTGAACAATGTGGTAAGACGCTATATCAAATGACAGTTGTATTTCCTCTCGATCTATACCTGCAGATCTCCTGGTGTGGCCATTTAGTCCTTTCCTAAGGAAAACGGAGGGCATCAAAAAAAAATCATGGCCAGTTGGGGTGGGAGGTTTCATAGCAAATTTCTCTCTGACCTTTAATAGTAAAAGCAATGTATTTCCCATTGCTGTGCTTTCTTGTGCTTTGAAAAGTACAAAGATAGAACCATACAACAACAAGATTCCATTTATAGAGCGCCTTTCACGTCGGGAGGACGTCCCAAGGCGCTGTACAGTTGGGTCAGGACCCGAGCAGGGGGGAAATGGTCAGGGTGAGGGGAGGGAAGGGAGGGAGCGAGGAGGGGGTAGAGAGTCGAGAGGGGAGCTGAAGACACGGTCAAAGAGAAAGGTCTTGAGACCGGCCTTGAAGGAGGAAAGGGAGGAAGCGGCGAAGGCACTGGGGGATAGAGCTCCAGAGCCTCGGGGCTGAGAGGCTGAAGGCCCGGCCACCGATGGTAGGGCGGTTGGGGCGGGGGAGGTGGAGCAGACCGGAGCCAGAGGAACGGAGGGTACGGGCAGGTAGGTAGGGGGATAGTAGGTCGGAGAGGTAGGAGGGAGCGAGGCCGTGAATGGCCTTGTAGGTGAGGATGAGGATCTTGAATTCGAAATTCACGGCACAGAAGGCCATTTAGTCCAACAACAACATCAACAACTTGCATTTACATAGCAGGGTAGAGTCTCAGAGCAATCCTTTCAGCCCCATTCACTTACCCTTTTCCCTACATAACCATGTTGGGAGTATTGCCTTTCTGCTGATGAGCTTGTTTTCAGAGCTATCTGGTTAAACTAGTTACGATTCCATAGTCCTGACCGGCATCTGAGTATAATTAGCAGAAAACTAAATTCCTGGGGGAAAGAAAAAATGGGTTTCCCGAAAAGGAAGGTGCCTGGAAACTCCCAGTGTTTGTAAACTTATATAAAATCATTTTAATTTGGTTGCGAAAGAAAGCAGTTAATTTTGAAGTCGCACTTAATTTAGACGTTTAGGGTAATTTAAGGTTACGCAGTTTTAAAAAAAAAATTCCAACATTCCACTGGCGCAGGGAATTTAGGGGTGTGGAAGGGAGGGTGAAATGTAATGTTTAACCTGTATGGCGTTTTCCTTTCAACGCTGACGCGACTGTGGGCCACACTGCTGTGCGCAATTGGCTGCTGCGTTTCACCCACAAAACACACAGTTATTACACTTTACAGTGATTCCCGCGAAGCGCTTTGATACGTCTCGAAGACGTGATAAGGCGCTGCGTCAAATGCGAGGATTATTTTTATCATTACGCCCCTTACAATCCAAACCCAACCATAGGAGTGCGCATTGCTGTGCTTGCTTACAACAGGACACTGGGTTTTGAATCAGAAATGGGCTCCTCCGGAAACATCTGTCCGTACAAACTCAATCCCTGCTACAGTACGTGTTGTGTCTAAATGCAAGGCTTCTGAACAGTGGGTGGAATAGGCTTGTGGGATTATTTGGCCGGACTCGACGTTCTTAATTGTTTAATGGCGAATGTCTCTGAGACGTTTAAAATGTCCTTCGCTGGCATGTCTTCTCCGCTTCAAGTATTGGGTTTCACAAGTCTGCCTTCTGCAGCGGTGAAGATATTGCAGAAGCCAGATTTTCTCTGTGGATTGAGCCTCGGCCCTGGTTAGGCTGTGGGTTTGATCCTCATCCCAGGACCTGAGCTCATAGTCCGAAGTGGATCCAACAGTTCAGGACTGTGCATATTTTGAAGAAGAGCGAGGGATTTTCCTGGTCCCTGACCAATATCCCTCGCCCTTCTCAATTCCCCGAAAATAAATGGATTCATTGATCATTTACCTCGTTGTTGTGTGTAGGGCTTCACTGACGCAGATCAGTTGATGCGATCGACTACTTATCATCACCCTGCAAAGTGACTCATTCATGTGCAACGCTTGGGAGATCTCGCGATGTGGTGAAGCAATCTATCAAGTGCGAGTCTTAATATGTTCATTTAGAAACCCAGCATTAGAGTACGATAACTTCAACTTGCATTTATCCAGCTCCCTTCACACGGGGCAGAGTCTCGGATCACTCCACAGTGGCTAAAGGGCAGAAATCAAATTAGTTTGGAGCTGTTGGTCAATGATCCGCTGGATAATATTGACCATTCACTTCATAGCTGTTTGTAGGACATTGCTGTGCGCAAACTGCCTGAAAAATTTACGGTATACCCTGAGAAGTGATTATTTTTAACTGTATCCGCCTCCTCTTCTCTCGTCCCCTCCCCCAGGGCCCAACCCCTCCACCCCCACCCACTTTCAACCCCACCACCACATCTGTCCCGAAACCAGGGGCAGAACTTGGGCCAATTCTGTTTGTCGGTGATGTTAGGAATTGTTGACCGTTTCTCTGAGAAAGGCGAGATTCTTGGCTACAGACAGGAAATACCAGTCTGGCACAGTACAAGCTTTTAGTGGCCATTAATTTGCGACTACAAATTTGAGTAGTGAGCTGCCAATGTCAGGATTGTGGGAACTCCGTATTTAGAACATCTCTAACAAGCAAAACCCTTGTGAGTATTGATCATTTCAAATTCTCTAAAATCACAACATTTATGGAAGCCGTTGAGTGCCAAACTTCTCACTTTCTTACCCGCCTCCCCCTCCTCACACACGCGCACACACACACACACACATTCCGCTCAGCTTTCCATTGGCAACAGTAAACCATGCATTCACTGGTTGTGAAGCAGCATTGGCAAGCGCTCCAGAAATGCTGTGCAATTGAAGGAAATCCAATGGACCCCAAAGATCACTGGAGAGGTTTGGGTGAAGAAGGTTCTTCAGCTCATTTGACCTCATCCTTGCCAAATGCCAAACCCCATTACTACCTTTGTGCCACTACTGTTTCTTAAATGACTCCAGTCTCCGAACGCTGTGTGTCTTGCGGAGAAAAACATACATAGAAAAATAAGTGGAGCTCAATGGAACCTGTGAGGACTCCTCTCCGTGTGTGGCACAGGCGGTAATGCACAGAACCAGGCCAGGTGCTTTGGCCTGTCTGCCCGGGTTCCCCAGGTTGAAGCCAATTATCTCTCTCTCTGTTCCCTCAGACAGTTAGACACGTCTGTGGGCGACTCATGACTTCTTCAGCCCCAATTCAACCGAGCAAGTTAAACTGCGGGCTTTGGCAGCGCAGCGGCAAATTTAAAATTTCCTCTCGAAATCCTAAACCGGGCACCAATCCCAGAGATGTTCTGCCCAAGATACGTCCTGAATAAAACGGTAGTGTTCGGATTCAGCCTAAATGTTTGTGCTTATCGTGGTTTTGGTGTGTTATGCAGCGTCTTATCCGCAAGTCGAACAAATCCGTGAATATTTGGTAACTCCTAGATAAACACACAAGTTTTATTTCATTATTGCCTTTAGATTATCATCAGCCTTTAATGTTTCAGTGAGTTTTCTGTGGCTCCTCTGATATTGCCACAGAGCAGTGAAGAGGAGTGCAACTCATTATGTGCACATCAGGAGAGGAGGAGGGAGGCTGTGTTATAGTGTTTAGACCATCGCGCCCTGATTGTGTTTTTCTTTTGAACTCGGAAAAATACATCTGAGTCCTTTGAAAGGCGACCGAACCACACCGGTTCTGTGTTGCCATGATGTAGTGTCCTTCCGCGATGAATCACTTAGGGTTTGTGCAACCAAGTTGTTTGCAGTGTTTCGCCGATGGGTTCCTGTCTGGAACTTGGCCAGGTTCTGTGGGAGGTCTCCTCGTGGCCTTGCAAAGGAAATAAACCATCTGTGGGTTAAAAAGTAGGTCAGATTCCAACAAACGAGGGCCTCATTCCTGACGACCTTCTGCTCCGGAGTGGGGGAGGGGGGTAGGGGAACGGCGGGGGCACCTGGAATGGCGCCTTCATTGGCTCTTGAGATGCGCAGGTTCAATGCTGCTTCCCTAATTTGAAGGGGACGACTTCACAGCATATACTGTAAAGTGTAGTGACCGTATATTTGGGAGGTGAAACGCAGCAGCCAATCACGCACAGCAGTGTCCCACCAGCAGCCGTGGATTGAGTGACCAAATTATTATTATTTCTTTATTTTTTTGAAGGCATTTTTACCCCCGGAAAAACAATCCCCCAATCGATTCACAACTGGGTTCCTATTTACTGCGAGGTTAACAGAGTTGCGGGGAGTAAGGAAACTTACCGAAAGATTCCTGCCCTGGAATCAAACCCGGGCCCTCTCGCTTGTGAGGCGAGTGCTCTAACTATTACGCTACAGGACTCCGTGTTGTTATTGTTTTTAGTTATCATCATTAGTTCGATTCTGTGGTCTGTTGTTTATTTCGTGGGGTTTACGTCACTGTTTTTTTTTATTGTGTTTTTACTATTCTTGTTTCACAGAATTGCGGAGAGCGGTGGTGGGAAACCTGCGGCTTGCGGGGCCGTAAATAATAAAAGCAATAATAATAGCAATAATCCTTGCATTTGACACAGCGGTTCATCAGGGAGTTGAGACGTCTCAAAGCGCTTCCCGGAATAAACTGTAAAGTGGAGTGACTGTATATTTTGTGGGAGAAATCGATCGACAGACAGACAGACAGACAGATAGACAGACGGACAGACAGAAAAGGCGGACAAATAGATAAATGTCCTTTTTTCTTTACGCGGCAGCGAGAAGGTCCAAGTAACGTGGTCCTGTGGTCCTGTAGCTGCGCTCAGTTTAAAAGTATTTCTCTCTCCCTCTCGCCTGCCTCTCTCGGTGTCTGTCTGTGTGTGTGTGCGTTGTGTGTGTGTGTGTGAGAAAGATTTCTTCCCCTTTCCCCACACGTTTGCACATGATCCTAAGCACGAACCAATGGCAGGAAGGATGGGGGTTTTCCTTGGCTCTTTTACTGGAGAAAGGAACAATGAGATCCTTCAGTTTTGGGGACAACCTCAAGCTTCTGGACACAGTACAGTTCAGACACACACACACACACACACACACAGACACATACACACAGAGACAGACAAACACATACATACACACACACAGAGACACACACACACACACACACAGCCTCTGCACACAGTCTGCCAAGTTTTTTTTTACACACACACACAAACTATTTGCACACCAGAGCTTAGACTCCGAGGGCTCAGAGAGCACTGACTCTGCAACCGAACAGCAACAAAACTCTGAGCAAACTTTTTGCAAAAAAAAAAGTTTTTTTTTTGGGAGGGGGGAGAGAAGAGAGAGAGAGAGAGAGAGAGATTATCCTTCCCTTTTGCTTTTCATCACGAAAGATTCTTTTTTCTCTCTCCCTCTTTGCACACCAAGTGGCTTTTTTTTTTGGGGGGGGGGGTTGTTTTTGGTTTTGTTTTAAGAGAGAGTTTGAGTGGCTTTTTTTTTGGGGGGGGGGGCAGTGTGGGGGGAATTTTTTTTTGGTGCTGTGCAAGTTTTTTGTATAGAAATAAGAAGATTGTCCAGTTGCAATCGAACCAGCAACATCTCACCTCTCTTTCTCTTTCTCTCTCTCTCTATATATCTCTCTCTCTCTCAAAGTGGCTTTTGTTTTTTAAGGGGGAAAGAAAGAGAGAGAGAGAGAGAGAAAGATTTTTTTTGGTGCTGGTGGTGGGGGGGTTGGAGGGGTGGATTTTTCTGTGTGTAGTTTATTTTATTGTTGCTGTGTTATTTATATAAATATAATAGAAGATTGTCCAGTTGCAATCGAAGCAGTAACACCCCCCTACCCCCCCCCCCAACCTCCCTCCTCCCCCAAACAACCCCCAATTCTCCTTCCTCTCTCTATTTAAATGGGGTTTTCTTTTTAAAAGGAAAGGAGAGAGTGAGTGACAGTGAGAGAGAGAGAGAGAGTTTTGTTGGGGTTTTTTTTTCCCCCTCTCTCTCTGTGAAGTTTATGTTATTGTTGCTGTGTTATATTTATATATATATATATAATATATATATATAATAGAAGATTGTCCTGTTGCAAACGAAGTAGCAGAGAGCCACACAGTGAGCAGCAGCAGCAGCAGCAGAGATGGTGGGGAGCCTGAACCTGCAGGAGGTGACTGGACCTTTGGTGGAGCCCAAACGTATGGGAGAGAGGGTCTTAGACAGCCCTGACTCTGGGCTTCCCCCCAGTCCCAGCCCCAGCCCCAGTGTGTGGCTGCCCTGTCCGGGACATCCCGAGAGCCGACTTGGGGCCACTCTGTTGTTGGAGCAAGAGGACAACAACAACAACAACACCACCACCACCACCATCAGCAGAGGAGGAGGACAAGCTGCCCAGACGGTGAGCAAACCCCTGGGGGTGGGGGGGGGGGGGGGGGGGTTTAAATTTGCGATGAAAACCAATAGATTTGGGTGCAAACATAATCGTAATAATATGATCAATGATAATAATCATTTTTTTTTAACCCAAAAAAAGGAATCAAATGAGATTGAAATCAGGGGCGGCCGCTTAAACCGGACGCCTCCCCCGCGGGGGGGACCCCGGGGGGGATTGTCCGGTCTAAGCGGCTTCCCTTCTCTAAATATTTAAATAGATATTTAAATAATTGTTTGTGTGTATATATATACACATAGAGAGAGGAGAGATATGTACACACACAGAGTGATCAAACAATGTATATCATTACAATGTCTAATAAGTCTTAAGGATTTTTGGGGGGGAAGAGATAAAAGTCATTATTGGTTCTATTTCTTTCTTTCTTTCGAAAGAATGTCAATAAATAACTGACTAACTAACTAACTAAATGGTTATCACGACTTTTTGGTCACATAGTGACCAAACACATAGTGTTTAAACGAGATCCCCGCAGCGTCTGGCAAACAAACTCAGGTTTATTGTGGTTTTTTTTTCTCTAAATTGTCTTGTTTGCTCATTTCTGTCTTAAAACACCTGAAATCTCACCCTCTCACCCCAAAAAAGACACGAACTTCAAATGCTGTCAATTCAACACGATGCCAATTCATTACACACGTTTGTTTTTTTTTTGCAATTTTCTTTAAAACGAAGCATTTTGAACTCTTTTAAGTTTTCCACCAAAGTTGCCCAAAAAGTCCTTCTGTAACATTTCTCATTCTCTCTCTCTCTCTCTCTCTGTGTGTGTGTGTTTGTAAAGATTGTGATCCTGATCCAGTCTTTCTCTGTCTGTCTTTAAGAACATTCTCACCTTAAACTGGTCAACCATTTCACCTCTTCTTTATCCTCTTCCCACCACAATTTTTTATTTAAACCAATTAGTTGCATATTAACAGATGGGGCTGAGTTCAATAAATAAATAACTGACATGAGTATAACTTGGAAACCAGTCTGGTCTCAAGAAGCACAACATTTTGTTAAGAGATTGCAATGAACTTCACCCCCCCAGTCATTAACTTTATTGATTGTGTGTCTGTCTGTCTGTCTGTCTGTCTTGTGTGTGTGTGTGTGTTTTGGGTCATTTTCATTGGAAAATCTCTGTGGAGTTTAGTGAGTGAGTGAGTGAGTGAGTTTGCTGACTCAACCCAATCGTTGGTTAGAAGTTTAGAAAGAATTTTGCTCTTTGCGGTGATGAGTTGTTCGCTGAGTAATTTGATGTGTCAGAGGTGTCTTTGGGGGATTTAAAGTAAAGCTTTTTTTTAAACAAAATACTTAATGCTGATAGAAAGTGATCATCAGCCGGTATCGAACAAGTTGAGAAACGGTGTGTGTGTGTCTGTGTACATGTTTGTGTGTGTCTGTATGTGTGTGTATATGTGTGTGTGTGTGTGTGTGTGTGTATATGGGTATGTTTGTGCGTGTGTGTATATGTATGTGAGTGCGTGTGTGTAGATGTATGTGTGTAGATGTAAGTGTGTGTCTGCGCGTGTATATATGTATGTGCCTGTGTGTGTGTATATATATATTGTGGTGTGTGTGTGTTCCCTGACCAACCTCACACGTGTCATTTCCAGCTACTGGATACTAACAGACTAGACTGGCTCCTTGGATGTTCTCCAGCGAATGAATGCAACGCAGAAGAGCTTTTGTATTATTAATAGTGTTGTTACATAGTGAAGGTTAAAATGTTAAACAACGCGTCTGAACGCGTGCTTGAGCTGCTCCGCTCTGGACGATAATGGCTTTCGAGAAAGCGTTGGGTATAATTGTGGACGGAGGCTGTGTGATGTGCGTCTCTGGGGAGAGAGAGAGACAGAGCGCTGGGCTGTCTATCTGTCTGTCAGTCGGTCTGAAGCCACATTCTCATCTGTGATCGTTTTTAGGCTATTGTTATTCCCTACGTCAGGGAAGTTCGCACATGATTATCTTACTGAAGTGCCCTGGTAGTGGGTAATGATAAATCATAATAATCCTTGCATTCGATACAGCACCTCATAATGTCGTTCAGACATCTCAAAGCGCTTCACACAGTATACTGTAAAGAGAATTGGCTGTGTATTTTGAGGGCGAAACGTGGCAGCCAATTGCACACAGTAGTGTGCCATAAACGGTCGAGAATTGAGTGACCCAATTATTATTGTTTATTTATTTTTGGAAGGATTATTACCCCTACTGAGCCATCTGCCAATCGACTAACAACTGGGTTCCTACTTACTGCTAGGTGAACAGAGGCTTTGTGAAGTAAGGAAACTTGTTCAATGTTTCGCCCTGCCTGGGAATCAAACCCTGGTCCTCTCGCTTGCGAGGCGAATGCTTTAATCATTACGCCACAGGACATTGCATACCAAAACTCTGCCGCCCAACAAGTAGTATTGAGCAGAGTGTGTCTGTCTGGGGTGAATTGACTCTTCAGGTGATTCAAGTCTTGTGGCAGGTTTGTGGTAATGGAACACCTGGGCTAAGACACTGTTGATCGAGACGTTGGCCTGACTCATCGTTAGGACCTGGAGGGGTAGTCCCGTCATTGAGGTCTGAGGTTCTTCACGCTTTTTCTTGATGAAAAGATTTGGTCTGTGGGTGAACCGGGTGTTATTGAGCTTAGCACACTTAATCCTTCTCAATCTGCATGCTTCACCCGCAAAAATACACAATCGATCCACTTTACGATATATTCTGTGAAGCGCTTTGAGACGACTTGATAAGGCGCTATATCCAATGCAAGGATTGGCTGGCTGCATTTCCAGACCAGACTGAAGTGGCAGAAGTCTCTCTCTCTCTCTCTCTCTCTCTCGCTCTGTTGGTTGTAAGAGTTCTATGTGAAATGACATGGCACAGTCTCAACACAGTTCCCATTGGGCCCATGCCCACAGCATTACACCACCATAATTTGGCACAAGTTGACCGTTTATCTCGCTCAGAGAAACCCAGAAAGATATCTTTATTTTTGCAGGAAATGGAAAGGTTCACACTGGTGCACGGGGAAACGGGAGCTCTTCTTACGTTAGAAGGTAGAGCAGAGAAGGATACGACTGCCTTAATCCTACACCGTGAATGGTTGAGACTGCGTGGTGCAGTATCATAACCAGCACTGATCTCCCCTTGTTGCAATGGGCGAGCTGCTGGCTTAACCTGGGCTATCGCTCAGTTAACCGGTTACTGCCCCTCGAATACCAAATCCAAGCAACCGCTGAAGGAAGTGAAAGACCTGCCAGTGGCCGGAGCGTTTCCCGAGCTTCGCACAATAAACGGGGAGCGCGCTGTGGAAGTACGGCTTACTCCGCCATTTGCAAAGAGAACGTTGTCAGCCCTTTCATAAGCAAAACCTTCTTCCGTGCCCCTGATTGGAGGCTCCTATACTTCGGGGCTGAGTGAATTTGGTAGCGCATCACTCAACAACTTGCACTTACATAGCGCCCTTCACATTGGAGCATCTCGGGGCGCTTAACAGTGGCAGAACCTGACTCCGAGCCGCGGGGGGGGGGGAGAAGAGGAAGGGAGGAGGTGCCCGTAAGCACGGCCGAAGAGGAAGGTCTTTAGGTGTGATCTAAAAGAGGGGAATGAGGGGAAAGGCGGAAGGATTGCAGGAGAGAGTTCCACTTCGCCCGGATTTGGGCAAAGTTACTCCATTTTACACTAAATCCAGTGAAGCGAGTTTGAGACATGAAAGGCACCATATCAAATGCAAGTATTATTGTTGTCATAACCTCTGTAGCAAAGCGAAAGTCTCCTTTGTTCTACATTGGTTCTGTGAACGCCACTTTCAATCCCCCCCCACACCCCCCTCCCCATTGTGAAATACTGCATATGTTGTGTTCCGTTTTCCTTCACCGAGGCGAATGATTCACGACACAGTTAATCGCAAAAAAAGAGTCTGGCAAAGGAGGGGGGGAGTGGGGGTGGGCTGTGGGAGGGGAGATAGAGAGGCTTCACTTCTGGTTATCTCATTCATCAATGAGCGAGTCTGGGGGCTGGTTGTCTGCAGTGGAAAATATCAGATCTGGAAAAGGCATTTTGTTTTTTCATATATATACATATATATTTTGCCCACAAAATATACAGTCAATTCACTTTACAGTATATTCTGTGAAGCGCTTTGAGACGTCTCGAAGACGTGATAAGGCGCTATATCAAATCCAAAGATTATTATTAATATATATATGTGTATTATACATGTAACAAATCCATATACAGGTGACCAAAAAGTTATGATATCTACCCTATTATCTAAAAAACCCCCACAAAAATATCATAATTTCGTTAAGACTTATTAGACATTGTAACGGTATCATGACTTGTCGGTCAGCGTATGCGCGTGTGTGTGTGTGTGTGAGTGTATGCATTTATAACTATATAAAATATATTTATACATGTAAGAAATCCAGACTTGTGCGATGTAGTTCCCACTTTGTGAGGCCTGTATCCCCATGGCTTTGCTTTGACTCTTGTCAATCTGCTCAGTTGCAGGAGTGCAAAGAAAAACATGAGTTATTGTGACAGTCAGCACCATGCAATACGTACTGCACCGTTGCCAACTATCTGTCACAGCGTGAATGTCTGGGTCTTAATGTGCAGCTGGCTGCTGAGTTTTATAAAAAAAAATTTGTGTGTATTATTTCTCCCCCCCACCCCACCACTCCCCCCTCCACCTCACAGCCCCCCTTTCAATTTTCTCCCTTCCTCTCAAAGGCGCTGACTCTGGCCAAGGATGAGCTGCCACAGTAACTGACTCTGGTACTTCAAGTCATTGGCTTTGTCACCTATAACAACAACAACTTGTGTTTATATAGCGCCCTTCACGTGGGGCAGCGTCCCGGAGCGCTTCAGTCTATGAGTCTAGACCACAAGCGGCAGAAAGTAATCTAAGTTATTTATAATAATAAAAATAATATTCCTTGCATTTGACGTGGGCCTTATCGCGTCTTCGGGAC